AAGGCACCTAATCCCAAATATTTTACAAATTTGAATACTGTTCTGTAAGGAATATGTGTGCAGCTCGCTCACTTTGTATTCTAGAAATGAATAGAAAACTATACTACCTATAGAACATTCCTATTTGACCTCAATAGTGGCAATCAAATTTTTAGAAAGAGAAAGTAAGAAAGTTAAACCTCAAACTTTGCTGGCTTTGCCAAGTCTTGCCACTCTTCAATAACATGGTTCCAGTCGATGCTGCAAAGCTGCACTCTGAGCTCACCGATAAGCCCATGTTTGGTGAAGCGATTGAAGTCAAACACCTTGATTACTACTGTGGACTTCTGAAGGGAGGACTTGGATAGCTGAAAAACACATACTATATATATTAGGGAAACATTTGATTACATGAAAAAAACATTTAATTTTTACTACTTTAATGAGTTATAGCATCAGCTAATATAATATCTTATGATTATGGATATAGCTGTGTATATGGTTTTCTATACTTTAAACTCTTTCTTACTGACTAAACTATTGACATGTATTACTGATAACACACAGGCACATATACAGCTAAACTCAAAATGTATGCATCTTAGATTTAAATTTATTTTTGTTCAATTGAGAGGTTTATAATTCAAACTTAAAACTCCTGAAATGTTAATGTATCACAGCAATTCTCTATGGAACAGTGGGTCAAAGATTTTTAACAGCAAAATGAAAGATGCATTGCCAGTTTTCACAGATGCTCGGTGTCAGTTTCTTCTAAACTACCAGTTTATAAAAAAAAAAACTATTCCCCATTGGGTATTTTGTACAAATGTGGTCACTATAAATGTTCCTACTGCTATTTTTTAACAAGATAAACAATTACAATAAGATTAGCATAGCTAATTCCCTTGAACTGAGTTAATATTAGAATCAAACATTAATGGATTCCAATATTATACAAGTTTCGTGAATTTTCTTCTGTCAAAATTGGAAACTACTGTAGTTCATGCATTTGTTATTTATGGGCTGGACTATTGTCATTGTTTACTATTAAAAAAATCCACAAACTTTTTTTAAAAGCCTTCAATTGATCCAAAATGCTGCAGCCAGAGTTCTGATAAAAATTTAAAAACAGAGATCATATTTCTCTTCTTTTAGTCTTCATGTTTTCTATTCATGTTAAATCCAGAATAGAATCTAAAATTCTCCTTCTCTATAAAGCCTTTAATAACTAATCTCCATCTCATATCATAGATCTGATCCTCAAGAGGATATTTATAATGATTTGGCCATAAATAAACTGAATTTTTCATTTAGAATGGATAATGCCTGGTCACTTTGTAAGTACATAGCTGTTTTGTGAGGCTAGGAAATTAAGATCAGTGTCCAAGATCTCAGACAGTGTTTTAATTCGAATATGCAGACTTTAGATGCCTATATTCAGGGTAGTTTCTGTGTTTAGGATAAAAAAAAAATGTCTGTAGAATTATTCAGGGCTAGGTGATAGTGATAAAACTCTATTGTTGATATGTGAATTCCACTCTGATATAAAGATTTTGAGCTGTCAATGATTTTATTGACAAACCTTTCTGATTCTTTGTTCCTCATGTATCAGTGTGAAATATTCTCTCTCAGTTTGTTATGATAGGAGCCTTTAACCACATGAGACTTGCATTGGGATAAAATATGTAGAATATAAAATTGTTTTTTTTGTTTTGTTCCCAAGGCAATAAAAAGGTATTTTAAAAAAACAACCATCTACCTTGAAAGTGAACTGCTCATTGAAGAAAGGGTTGAGTGTGTTTTTGAAAACTTTAGTCTCAAAAACATTGGACTTTTCAGGGAGGATGTAGACTTTTACATATGGATCAGAGCTCTTTCCCAAATCCATTGCCTTTAAACTGCCAGCTTGTTTGATCCCCACTGTAAGCTGTAATACAACAAAACACAAGATTAATTTGTGAATTTTATCACTGCTACAAGGCTCACAGAAAATCATTGTTCAACTATAAGTTCATTTACAGGACAGTACATGGGAAACGGTGATGGAAACTAAATCTTGCGGTATAACATCACCAAAATGCCATGAAAATGAGGGTGCAGTGACAGTTTTATTTAGTAGAGATCAACCTTAAGCACAGATGCATTACATTTAAATACCTCCGACAAAGATGCATTGTACTCCAAAGAGTAGAGCAACTTTCCCCTATATTGTTCTGTTGTACCGTAGCCGATAACCCTGATGTCTGGCTGAACCTTTAGAGAAACACAATAAGAATATCAGGTTAGAATAAGTCAGCTAAAACTTTAAAGGTGACATAAATCTATGTGGTTTAATTAGTCATTGCGGTATAAAATGGATGGTTCCATAGCTATTGAGTAAAGAGGAAGGGTCATATTCTGGTTGCTCCATGTTCTGGAAAGAAGTTTTAGACTCCATCAAAGTCTGCAATCAAAACTACATTTTCTTGTGAGCTTATTGAAAGCCCCAATCTCACCTACCAAATGCTCGGGTTTGCCTGTTTCACTGATGTCACTGGATTGGATGGAGGTTGATGCATCATGTTTGCACTGGTTAATTTATGGGGACTTCATCAACAATTCAGGGTTAATTGTTAATTTGGTTCAGCCACTGAGTGTTCATGGGCACAGAGGCACAAGAGCACTGGTATGCTGGCACTGCCATCTCAGTAGTTAGCAGAGGTGTCATTTATAAAAGGGCCTGAAACTGGCATTTTTTGATTTCCATGCAAATGTTGTGATGTATAAAATATTTAATTTGACAGGAGAATGTACAGACTCTCTCTCAAACTGTAACTCATGCGTACAATTGTTATAAAAATGGGGGGAAACTGCAGCACAGATGGTAAAGTGAGGAATTGAAGCCACACTGATTATAATTTCTTTGAGGCATTCAATTTCCCTCTATATCAAACTCTAATAAGAGATTGACTTTATCTTAAGGATTTAACACAGCATTATTTACGCTTACACGGTTTAGTCTAAGGACGTTTTTCATAAACAGGCTATAGGCAAACAAGAATGCAGTTTTTGCACCCTAACATTCCCACCCTGATGGGACAGGATGATGTTTACTATAGATTAACAAATTAATGATGAAAAGGAGTAAGGCCATCCCACTGATTCCTGTAAAGGATTTAGATACCATTTTATGATGTATGCGTAATGCTGCTCAATAGATTCACTGACAATTCTGGAATACCTTGACTGAATGATTTTTAAATGGGAATGTGTTCTTAGGGATCATCAAGCTTAGCTAATTCATTAAATGAGTGGTGATTTAGACTCCATAGAATTTTGTTCTTGAATCTATGTGAGTGCTGAACTGGGTCTAGTATTAAAGAGAAAAACCAGATAGTTCCATGCTATCCCTGTTCAATTACAGGTAATAACAAACAACTGTAGGCTAATATACCAGTATATTAGCCTACAGGTGTTTGTTTAATATAAACAACAATTTATTAACTCTGTGCCTAAAGCCACTTTTAGGAAAAATATAATATATGTGGTTATCCATTGGTCTGGGATATCGCAGCCAGGACTAAGTGCAATAATTCTTGCAATCTTCGATGGATTGTTGATTTGACCAATCCAGAAAGCTTTCTCAATTTAAAATGTCTTGAGTAGCGTGTAGCTCCAGGCTTTATAGAATTGCCCATCAAAAGCCTTGTTATGGCTTAGAAAACATAAAAATTGAACCAAAAAAAACAGGTCAACTCCCTAAGCTAAGATGAGTGGAGTGTTGTATGCAGTTCAGTGCAACAAGGAATGCTCTGATCTTTATATTGGAGAAACCAAACAACCTCTCCACAGATTCATGCCTCGACACAGGAGAGCTTTTAATTTTGGAGATTTTTGTATTTTTTTGTATTTTTGTATGCTCTGTCTGCTGTGTTTTTTGCACTCTTTTCCTGGATCCTGCTGGTTACAGAACCTGGACTGTTTCTCTGACTTCGGCTTGGATTCTCCTTAAGGACACTGTTGCTCCCTCTGCATCAACTATCGTCAGCTCATTATCATTCGGGGCGCTGGAAGCGGCTACGGCTGCTAACTATCGCCCTTTCATCTGGGATCGGATCGGACTTTAAACCAGGTCAGTGACTTTTGCTCTTTGTCATTATTAGCCCGATATCCCAGTCACTGACCTGTGTTTTCTACCTCTGCAGTGAAACCAGTTATCCACCCCGCTGATTATCAGCTGCTCGCTGCGTTATTGGTTCTAAATAAAGCTTGTTGTAAACCGTCTTGAACTGTCTGTCTGAATATTGGGTCAAAGTTTCTGAGGTCGTTACACTAAAATCTCAATCCTCATTGCCATACAGGCGAATAACGACCCTAACAGCTCCCCATTACAAAGGGGTGGACCTGTTTCTGGTCAATTTCCATGTTTTCAAAGGCACAACAAGGCTTTTGTTTGTCTACCCAATAAGCCTGGAGCTCCACAATACTCGAGACATTTTGAATTGAGAAAGCTTTCTGGATAGGAAGTGAAACGAGAAGTCCAGTGGTTTTGTTTTTTACTTGTTTTTGGACAAACAGAGGTCCTTAGAATCAACCATTTATGGTTAAATTATAATTCAATCAGATCATACAGACAATTCCATCTTTATGAAACACCCCATCACCAAAAAATCACAGCAGCATGTTGTTTATATCTGAAAGAGATAGATATTAAATGGCAGATAGTTGTACTATACCTCTGGTAGAGCTTTTACAGACCAAAATAAGATAAAAGTTGTGTATCATTATTATTATTATCATCCAGGTTGTGCAATATTAATTTATCCCTCTGTGTTGAGTTACTATCTTGCATTCCATTCCTGCTCCAACACCTTAATTAAATTGCTTAAATCTCTCAATAACCTTTTTTTTTTTTTTTTTTTTTAGCTTTAAAGAGGTCTGCTAAATGTCCAAAGTCCAAGCAGCTCCCATCGGCCCAACCAGAGTAGCAGATGGCAGGTTGCACCAAGTGGATAGCTAGCTGAGAAGTTATCCACATTGGTTTAAATTAGAGCATTTGATGTTTAAAGTACAGACAGACCAAATGGATAGACTTGTTAATAGTCTGTGCGCCGAACGAGCTAAACTGATTGTTACGTTGTCTTACCCGTGCAGTGGCTGTTTTTCCATTTAATCCCTTCAAAAGAATCTGTTGATCCTTTTGCCGTCTCTTCTTCCTTTTGCAGCAACATTTAATCCAGATACACAGGCAACAAAGTAGAACTACTAGGCTACAACTTCCAAAGATGGTGTAGATTGCCCACCGGGGTACTGCAGAATATAAAAGGAAAGAACAGTTAGATGGGATTGTTGTAGTGTTTTGTTTTTTGTAATTTTTTCAGGTCATTCATGGCATTGAAGTCACAAACAAACAATAAAAAAGATTTTGAATTTGAATTTCAGCTGACAAGTCTCGATCTGCACATCATTTATTGAAAGCCACAAAATGTAATATGGTTTAACTTACAGCGTTTAAATTTCTATTATATAGGTGCTAAAAGCCCATTATCATAAAATGTTTGTTCCAACCTAAAATGTTGGATAATAATTGTCACTGTGTTATGCACCAGAAAGAGAACCTGAAATGATTGCCAGACAGAGGCAGTTGCAAAACATTTATACTTCTGGGAGTCAGAAAGCATTTACAAGATCAAACATGTTATGAAATGGTGGTCAACAGTTTGGTGTCTATTCCTAAGATTGTAAAGGAGGAATTGATTAAACTGGTTTATTCCTTCTTAAAAGTCTTTACCTCCAAACAGTTCCTCTTCAATCTGCAGTTTATGTACCCTTCCTAACTTCCTAAAATCAGGTAGCGGCTAATAAATGTAATGTTACAACAGAATATATAAGCCAGGCACAAATCCTAGCTAAGATTACAGAGTTAAACGGGAGGCAGGGAGGAGTCCTACACAAATAGGCAGACATCAGCTTCTCATCCAGGCACTGGACAAAGAAACAAGGTCTTTGTCAAGAAAATGAAAACCCAGTTGTAAAAATAGTAAGGGCAGAGAAGCATGGTTGTAGTGAGGAGATATGGTAAGGCCAATGAAGAAACCATAGACATCAATAATCAGAGGCTTTCGATAATCTGGCAGAATATTGATGGCTTAAGCCGGGCGTACACTGTGCGATTTTTGGGGCGATTTTCCAGTCGTGCGAGAATCTTTTGATCGGGCCGACTTTCAGCTTGATCGTGCGTCATGAGTCGTGTAGTGTACAGGGGGTTACGAGGGGCGATCAGCCTTTCACGACCACCTCCCGATCAGGGATCGTAAGTTTGGGAGAAAATCAAACAAGTTTGATTTTTTCCCGACTGCATGGGCAAATCGCTCAGTGCGCATGCGCAAACAAGGATTCTTTTGTAAACACAGCAGCATGGCAGAGATGCAATGTGTGAAATGCAGTTCTTTCTGTAAAATTGTCAGACCGTAGTAGCCACGTTTGCTCAGCCATGTCTTTTTCTCAAATACGTTGTTGCCTTTTCTTTTCAGGGCTTTCAGCACAAAATTGCACAATTTACCAAGGCAGTGCGGTTCACTATAGTGAGCTTAATATTCCCCTTCTATTTGTTTGGCTTCCGGATAGATGAGTCAGAGCAGCTCCATCTCACTGCGGAGCTGAATCTGACGTGGTTTTAAGTTGCACAGTTTGAGCAGGCAGATCGCATAAGAGCGTTGGGCCGAACATAAATCGTGAGCTGTAGCTGCGTGCAACAGCTGAAAAAATTGCACAGTGTACGCCTGGCTTTAAGTAGGCCAGCTAAAAGGTAAGGGGATTGACACTGACTGAAGCAGAGCATACAGCTGTTTAACTTGCAACTGAAATGTAAAGGTGAAAAAAATAAGTTTCACTCTTGACCCAGTAAGTCTACTTCTCTTTGTTTGGGCATCCAGTTGTGTAGCTTTTATTAAGAATCTATGGAATAACAGTCTGAACACCTCTCTCTGCAAGGATTACATCTTGTGTTCTGGCCTTTTATCTTGAGAATGAACAAGATTTTATTTTGAGAGCTTTGTTGGAATTTCCCAAAGAAAAAGCCTCCACCTCAAGGTTTTAAGAGAATGGCGAAAGAAGCCACCAAGTGTTTCGCCAGTTAAACACGAACAGTCAACAATATATAGAGGTGGCCTAGAATTTATCCTTCTAAAACCTATTCCACACCATCACCTCCCCAGGGAATTTTACGCACTGAGAGGTGATGGTAAAATGGATAAGTGACCAAAACAACTTACCTCATTGCATAGATAGCATAGGAGAGGAAGGTCAGGCCAATAACTAATGAGAAATACAGTAATTGCCCAATTAGTGACATTAAAGCCCCTATTAGAGTTCAGACTATAAGGTAAAAGCCTTCTACTTCTACTTCCAAACATTTCCAGAACAATTTGCAGACTTTTGGATGACAGTTGAAACAAGACAAGAAATCATACTCAAGATTTTAGAATGGCTAAAGTACATTTTCAGTTCACCTAGATATCTTATGTCCTTTATACATTTACTGGGACTCTTTTGAAAAACAACCATGAAAGTAGAGAGAAAAAATAGTAGAAAAAAGGGAAGCTCCTGGTTGGTAACTTACAGTGAGAGTGTGTCAACAGGTCTTCAAAGAAGCCAGAAGCTGTATTAGCTGAGCCATTAGTGTGGGTGGACGCTGTGGTGATGATGGGTTGATTGGTGACTTTCAGATTTAAGGATCCACCTTTTATTAGAGCCTGCAATTTTGGGGCCTTTGGTTTTTGCAGATTTGAAGATCTTGACAGTTGGATTACAGGCATTTTAAAAAGGTCTAAAAGCAAGAGATGTGAAAAATAAAAACATCCATTTAATTATCTATGTAATCAAATATTTTTATTTCAACCATGTGATAATACAAGAATCTAACAGACAACAATAAAACCAAGTGAGCTGCAAATTCAAGTAAAGAAAACCAGGGAAGTATCTGGTGGACATGTAATCAGAAGTTACTCTTAAGTGTAAAAGAACAAAAACAGTTAAGCAACATCGGGGGAAACCTCCACCCAAGTAGCACAAGCCCAGATAAATCCCATGGCACAAAAAATACCAATGAAAGGCTAAAGACATGAACCCGAATGAAAACCAGAATCATTTAAGGATATAACATAAAGTGAGCATCTTCTTATTTAACTCTAGGTTATTTGACTTTCTGAGAAAAACTAAAAGCTATTACTTACCTTATTTGGAAATTGTATGTATATAAACTCAAGGGTACAAAAATGTATTTAATTATAATTTATTCTGAGAAACATAAGGCCATCTCTCCAAAACTGGAATCTTCGAAAGAACCAGGACATAACAGAGGACAGAGTTAAGATGAGGGTACAGTACACAGGGTGGTAGCACCTTGTAGGTCCCACACTTTGCATGGTTTTTCTTACTATTACTGGTATTGTGCTGATGTGAGCTTGTTAGAGTGAGCTAAGGGTTTTTGTTAAGAGAGTATGGCCAGGTCAGACATACCTTTTAAGAGGCCAAAAAACAACTAGCTGCATTAAGCAAAGAAGCACAGCTTGACACAGACCTACAGACACAGGTGCTTGCATTTATCTGTCAACCTCAGGACCTTAGAGTTCAATATCAATGTTAGTGTTCACTGAAGCAAAGCCTCTAAGTTGATAGAAACATAAATGTAACGTAAAGGACAAAATAAACACTTTGAGAAGGAAAACTTACTGTAGATTGCTTTATTTTAGCAATATGTTTCTTTGTGTTTTATAATGAACTATATGATGGCTCCTCTTTAAAACTCCTTGCCAGGGGTTTTAAGGCTAAGTTGACAACTCTTCAATACAACAATCAGTTTTAAAATGGCTCTTCTGTAAACTTTTCTTAATATTGAGTCTGCTGTACCGATTAACCTACAGGAGCCACAGGAAGTTCAGCACCTACATATAAACAAAATGCATACTAACATGCATGGTTGAGGTTCCACCCAGAGGCCTCCACCCTGAATAAACAGCTAAAAGCAGCACATTAACCCTCTGGCTGATCTTTCAGCTGATAAGTCTTTTTATACACCTTGCATCTTAGAAAATTTCCAAAAGCTTAAAAAAAAAAAGCTTCAATACCACATATCAACATTATGTAGATACTTTCTTCAATTCTGAAATAGGGAGTCAAATATTTAACCCATTATGTTTTCATTTTCAGCTCACCGGTCTCCTTGTAGATGTCTTATTACAGACATTTATATAAAACGCAATTTGAAAAAAATGACATTTGTAAAACTGAAAGAAAAGTGTGGAAAAAAGTGAAATATATCTCTAAAAAGAAATTCGAAAATAAAAAATCTATAAAATTAATTTAGCTATAAGAAAATGTAGAATCCAAAAAAAAACATTTAAAATATAACATTTTAAAGCTATTTACTCAGATATTGAGAGAGGCATGTACAATAAACAGTATAATGTTTGCTACGTTTATTGTTACTAGATAGGTTCTACATCCCAATGCATTTCATCACTGCTATATTCCCTGGATGTGCAAGATTAACAACTAATAAGGGAGACAAACAAAAACAAAAAAAACACAAACTAAACATGAAAATAACAACTTGACTTTTCCAAAGTAAAGAAAAAAGTTAATGTTTGCCATATACTGTAAAAGACAAATGTCCTCACACAAAAGAAAAATTTAGTATTCTTAGTCTATTCAAAGTGTTGTACTCACTTGTGGGTAGGTTTCATCCATAGGTTAACCTTTGTTCCCAAACAACTGGTTGTAAGATTTCTACGAAAAAAAAGAGAAGTTGGGTTAGATCAGGACTAAAGTGGAAGGGAGGGACGTTTAACTGCTGAGCTGAAATGAAGTCGAAGCATTTTAATCAGAGGGAGGAAACGTCTCCTTCCTGGATTTACACCCAGTCTTTTGTATTGTATTAGCAGGAAAATACTTCAGAAAAAACACTTGTGAAATTTGCTCTCAATGGTAATGTTGACTGCAAAAGAAACAATTTCATTAAGAAAGACCATTCATGTTTGCCTACATAAAACAGTAAATATCAAATCTGTTAAGCAGTTTCTTTAGGTTTACTCTTGTCTCTGAAGCAAAGGTTTATGGACACATTGAAACATTTTTGTGACATGAGCATCATAGCTTACATTTGCTCTAGGTTTGCCTTTTAACATCTAGGGCAGTTTAAAAGTATTTTTCCCGAAGACCCAACAAATTTAACATAGAATATAAATTAAAAAAAGAGAAACAAACGGTGAATGGTCTGTACTTATTTAGTTTTTTTTTTCCAAGTCAGGAGACTTGACCAAAGCGCTTTACACAACATTAACTCATTCACACAATGCCGCTGTGTGAGGGTGTTTGTAGACCAGACATAGCTTCTTCCCAAAACAAGCCAGATTCTTTCTCAAAGATTATTCATAACATGTTACTGTTTAACCAAAGTGTAATTTGTTTTGACTCTGACTACCTTCCAGAATTGTAAGTAAAGCATAGCTGAAATTATATAATCAGCTTAAATAGAACAAAACTCCGAACCTTTACATATCAATGTCTTTTGCACCATGATATTAAACTGGTTTCCTTTTCTCCTACACTGTTTACATTCTTGATGACTGCTGCACTTTATAAATTGTAATGTTCATTTTACTGTTATAAGCTGCTCATTCACTGTTGAAAAGCTGTATGCATCGAAATTTCATTTTGTAAAAGCACTGTGTATACAAGATGAAAACAAAACACTACTTCACTTTTTTAAATCGACAAACTTTCAGGGATTTAAAGGGCCCTTGGCAGACCAATTTATTTAAGTGAATTTTATTTTCAGAGCTGTGGGACTTGACTGCGGGAAATACGGCCAAATCATTCTTTACCCATAGACTCTGTTGGTAGAACCAATCCCTCTGTGCGAATTACTGCCAGAGTTTCTCTTTTACTTCCTTCAAAAATCTTTGAAGTTTTTATACCGCTGTTTCACTTACCGTCATGCTCTCTGTCCTCCCAGATTAAAATTAGTGTTCCAAGATGGGATTCTTACCAACTCCGCTCACATCACAGGAGATGGAGTTGGTTCTATTTTTCAGTGCTTAGTTCTGTTTCTCTTCCATAGTTATGCACTGAGTTTTTACTGGAACTAACCGTATGTGCTTTTAAATAAATTTTAACATGAAAACTAGTTCAGTTACTCTTACCTTAGCAGGTATTTATGTTGCAAGTCTGCTTCTGTCTCCTTAAGCCTACATTTGGCCTCGGCAGATGGTCATTCACACCAATCCTGGTTCTGCTTGAGGTCACTTCCTGTTAATGAGGTTTTTCCTCTCCACTATCACTGCATGCATGCTCGGTGTGAAGGATTGATGCAGAGATGATACAACCCAAGCAAATCTACTGTTGCTACTTTCTCATCCAGGAAGTGCAAATTCTGCAAAGTGAATGATTTGATGCAATCAGCTGGGTTTCATTAGATGGAAAAGCTTTAAGCAAGCTGACTGGATGATGATCTTTTAAGATTACATATTTTGTAAAACGCATGCGTGCATTTCACAAAAATGCATGCCTGGGTTCTTTCCAGGTACCTGGACTGTGGCTTCCTCCCACAGTTGAAACACATGACTGTTAAGGTTAACTGGTTTCTCTAAATTATACTTAGGTGTGAGTGTGTTTGTGAATGGTTGTTTGTCCTGTTTGTCTGTGTTGTCCTGCGATGGACTGGCGACCTGTCCAGGGTGTATCCCTCCTCTTGCCCCCAGACAGCTGGAGATACAGTAGGCACCAGCAACCCTTGCGACCCCACTTGGAATAAGCGTGACAGATAACTGGAAATTGTACTATATAAACAAACTGGATTAACTGAAAATAGATCATGCCTACATATAGAAACTAACATTGATAGCAACTTGATTAAGAGACCCCAATATTAGGCAGGCAGAAAAGAGTAGAGAGGGGTCTGTAACCTGTGTCTCAAAGCAGCATGTGGATCTTAATAACTTTGACCAAAGCGCCCAAAGTAGTAATGTAATGTTTTTAAATGTTAAATTAATCATAACTATAACTTTAAAAATAACTTTACCAGTTTTTCCTGGAAATGTTCTTGCAACAAACGCATCTGATTTACACAAAGGGAAATTACACATTTCAAATAGGGGTTTTGGACTGTACTACTGGTAAAGTTTATTAAAATGTTTTTGTTTTTTTCAAAGAAACTGATTCAATTTAAACATAAAAAAATGTATTATGAACTTTAGACTCAACTATCGTAGGTTCAACAGAAAAGAGGTATTCTTTTTAAAAGTAAATCTTTAATTTGTAACAGGTAAAAATAGGCTTACAATGTACAGAGAGAACATTCTAGCAGTAGCAATACCTTTACTCATTCCTGCAGATCATATTATGTTAATGTGACATCGCTGACTCATATATTTGTATAGAAAAAACAAACAATAAAAGGACAATACCTGAATCAGTTGGCTCAAAATGCTGTATTTTGTTGTAGAGCTTCATGTGTTCACACTATTGGCAGATAAGTCTGCACTGCTCTGCTGAGGTCCTTCATCTCCAGCTTGCTGATCGTCCTTCAGCTTGTAGCAGCCACCACACCCTAACCCTGCACCATGTTCAAACACAGGTGGAGTTTCAGGAGTACTTCTTATTTATTGAGAGCGTGTGTAATCTACCAGAACGGCTTCAGTGAACTACCAAAACAAACAGGACTCTTTGCCAGAACAGAATACAAGAAGCTTTTAAAGGTGTTTGCTTTAATGAATTGTTTCCAGCTCCCCCGGAGGGAGCCTAAGGGGATCTAGGGACAGCCGAAGGACATAGTCCCTCCAGCGTTTCCTGAACTATGCCCTTCTTCAAATGCCAACTTCACGTAGAGGATGGGTTTCAGTGCCCAGATGATCCCAGAAACTATAATGCTTGGGACTTAAATGTTCCTTGAAGGGTCTCCCAATGCAAAAAAGGTTCTGGGTGAAAGGTGAGTTAAAGAGTGGTTGAAAAAGCTCTAAAATAAAGGGATTGAGCCAAGAGACACTGTTTGGAATGGCGAAGCCTGAACCTTACCCTGGAGCCAGGCCTGGAGTTT